GATCTTCCGAGGTCTCTTCCAGCCCTAATGTCTATGAAAGCTATGAAATATAAAATGGTGTAGACAAGGCCTTCATCTCTTGCTTTGCATAAATGGCCCTGCAGCATTATTCATTTCAAATCTATAATGTCAGTGCCTAAGCTGGACCGTAAAAAGGTAGCATGGTACTACTGAGCAATCATTGCTATCAGTAGATTGAAATAGTAATGCAAGCTGAACAAGTTGCTTTATCTGTACTTCTGACATTGGCCTGAACGAGGACAAGAAGAAAAATGAGAAACAAAAGATATATATCATAAAAAAAAAGAAAGAAAGAAAGAAAGAAAAGATGAAATACTGAAACCAAGACAGCAAGATAGATCAGAAAATAACGCTGGGCATACAGGTTTATTTATAGTGTAATTTTATACTAGATTAAGTAAAGGTAAAGGTAAATTGAAAGTACTAGAGCTAGTCCCGACTAGTTTCCTGTACAAAAATTCCAAATAAAAAGTGTGGTCTTTTCCCATTTAGCTTATGCAACTTTTAACATGATTAAAGTTAAACTAGAAAAAGACACACTATTCCCAAATCACACGGAGATATTGTGGAATAGCTAATCTTGTTAATTTTCCTAGATACACAACTGTCTGGGAATGCCTCAACAAGCAGGGAGGTGTAGGGACTCTCCATTTTGGAGAGGTATGCCCCAAATGTTGTCCCATCAGGTCTGGCCCATCACTCGTGAGAGGGCAGGGCCCCACCCTGCAGGACAAGAGGCGATGTCTGTTTTACCCAATGAAGTGGATCAATTGTGTCACTATTTATATCCTTTGACAAGCTTTCAAAATAATAAGTTTTGCCCGATCAGGAACAGGGGGCGGGGCCTATCTGTGCCTACTTCAAAATTTCCATTCAGTAATACGTCCCTCTTTTACAATGGGTACCTTGAGCTACTTTTATATCCTGGGAGCAGAACCAAACCTGCAAGTCACTAGCAGTGGAGTAATTCCCCACCAACTAAGTTTCCCTCATTTTACAACAAATGTAATACTTAAGGTTATATTTCCTAAATTGCAAATTCTTAACTATACAGCTCTATCCTGGATGATCTCCCTAAATGGGCTAAACCTGTAACCCTTATCACTTCAAGAAAGGAATTTTTCAGGTAAGCACAGTTAAATTTACTACTTACTCCTCACTGAGCTAAGGTTCATAGATTTGTTGCAATGGGGTTTTCACAGTGTCTCATTACAGCAGAAATGATTTCTCTGCCTTGACTTTTGTCAGAGGCTTCTACAAACTAGACTTTGTTGCTTGACAGAATAATAGAAAAGTAGGGCTGGAAGGGACCTGCTCAAGGCAGTGTCATCCCTGACTAAACCATCCCAGCCAAGTATCCATCTCACCTGCTCTTGAAAGCTTCCAGGACTGGAAATTCCACAACTTCTCTAGGTAGCCTGTTCTAACACTTGACCACGCTCATAGTAAGAAAGTTCTTCCTAATCTACAACCTAAGTTTACCCTGGTGCAACTTGAGTCCATTGCTCCCAGTCCTATTTCCTACAACCACACAGAAAAGCTCATCTCCAGTCTCTCCATAATTATCCTTCGGGTATTTGAAGATTTATCAAATCCCCCCTCAGTTTTCTCTTTTCCAGACTAAATGACCCTAATTCTTTCAGCTTCTCCTCATCATTTTTGTTCCTCTTTCCAAACTGTCCACATTCTTCTGGAAATGTGGGGCCCAAAACTGGACATAGTACTCAAGGTAAGGCCTCACTAGTGCTGAATCGAGCAGAAGAATCACTTCCCTTGATTGCAAGTGAGGCTCTTGTTAATACAACCCAGTATGCTCTTGGCTCCCCATTGCCCCCTCCAACAAGAGCACACTCTTAGCTCATATTCAGCCTGAGGTCCAGCACAACTCCCAGGTCCCTCTCTGCAATATTGCAGCCTAGCCAGTATTCTCCAGTCTGTATTTACGCATGCAATTTTTCAACCCTAAGTGGAAGACTGCACTTGTTCTTGCTGAATCTCATCTGACTGATTACAGACCATTACTCTAGTCCAGGGGTTACTAAAGCTTTTATGCTGCGGCACAGTAAACCACAGCTTGGAAGTGGCCGTGGCCTGGCAAACCACAGCCCAGCAGTCACAGCCAACCGCGGGCAGAATTGCTGGCTGGAAGACAGGTAAACATACCCCCACCTCCTGGTGGGGGAGGCGCCAAACCCTGCACTGCTGCAGGCCCTGCAGAAGGAGCTGTGGCCTCTCCGCCTGGTTCTGGGGGGCTGCAGTTTGCCAGTCCATGGCCACTTCTGGTCCAGTAGCCAACTGTGTTGTGAACCGGCATCAGGCCGTGGCCTGGGGATTGAGAACCCCTGCTCTAATCTATCCAGGTCATTCTGGATCCTAGCCCTACACTGGCATATCTACAGCACCACGCAACTTGGTGTCATCCACAAATTTCCTAACTATGCACTCAATCCCATCACACAAATCACTAATGAAAAATATTAAACAATATTTTTTGCCCCCACTTTCACCAGTGCTAAATTTATTTTAAGAACAGCACCAAGTATAGAAATCTGAGACTTCTTTAAATAATTATCAACTATTATGAGAAAATATGAGGAAATTACTTTGAGTAAGAATGCAAAGAAACATTTACCTGTCTGATTTGTTGTAGCTGATGTGTTCCCCGTATTTGGTACAAGGAATAGCGACTGAATGAATGATCCCAGTGCATTCACAATATCACGGAAAACCTTGGTAGAATGTTGCTTCATATCATAGAACTGACAAAATGATCTGTAAGTTTTAAAATAAATAAGCAAGGGTCAGTGACATAACTAATACCAGTACTTCCTTCTGGTTGAAAATTTTATGATTAAGGCAATTAGGTCTTTAAATTTTGGGGCAAATATTCATGTTCAAAGTGGCAAACCAAATAAGACTGGTAACTTTGGCCCAGTGCTCAGTGGACTATAACACTGCCTTGCACTACAACAAGAAGCCTGTCCTGCTGATTTTATTTTTCAAGTCTCAAAACACTTAGAACATATACCATATTTACTTGAACACAAGAAGAGATTTTTTTCCCCTCCAAATCAGCATGGGGAAAAAAAGCCTATCATCTTACACTCACATACAAGGACACCTCAGATTCACTGTCTATCAATGAACTGCTGACAAAAATCAGCATGTGTTCAGTAATGGAAGCCAACTATGACACTGATTAAATATAACCAACACTGAGCAAACTATAAAACACATGGCCCCTATTGGACAAACATGGTGACAGGCCTTTTTTTTTTCTGGCCCTCCACGGAAAACTGGTACTGGGCCTAGAGGTACTACAATACCAGGCTGGCACCAGGAAGGCTAAAGCCAGCACTGACACCTTTGTGCCAAAAAAATGCTTGATTTTAGCCAAAAGGCTGAGATGCTGATGGGGACCTACCAAAAGGACAGGCCAGTGCAGTCCATTTGAAGAAGATACATGACAGTGCCCGTTGCACTCAGTGCCCCTCAGTGCCAACTCTTTTTCATGGTGAGCTATTACACTGCAAACATTTCAGCTTGCTCTTCACTTCCACAACTGAGCTGCTTTTCTTTCCCACTTCCAATGATTCAGTTCCAGTCATGGGGGGGGGGGGGGGGGGG